GTGGTAGTTAGATTAATCTATGGTATTCAGATTATATATTGTGGGATAAAGTTCAATTCGAAAAAAATAAATAATTGCTCTGACATCCAGATCGGTGGGCAAAAGAATATTGCGAAGACCACGAGCTCCGGCTGAGATATTTTTTATATATATTTGAAAATTAGCCAAAAGGCGTTATGCATAGGTAGATAGGATATGTGAAAAAAATATAGCCATGGAATGAGGGGTTCCATGACTATGAATAAATTTGTATTGTATTCACGTCTTAAATTCACGTTAGAGCCAATATATATTCTGGCCCTAAAACACTTGTCTTAGTAAATGCATCATATAATGCACCTGGTCTATACTTCGAAGGAGCCAAATTTGAATGATGGAGGAATTTCATAAGCACGTCGTTCCTCTAAGTTTTCATCTCTTTTTGCTCCCAAGTTATTCCTATTAACGTAGTCAAGTTATCAATGGAATAGTTCATTTGGATTAGATTCTGAAGTGAAGATCGTTTATTTTTTTCTAGAGTAAATAGACTCTTTCCTCCTATAACAGCAGACTCCACACTAATAATAAATTTTTCACGAATATCTGCTCTAATTGCTAAGACAAATAAAGGTGGAATTAAGGCTGGATAGTAGAAGTTGACTAGGGAATCTAATGCAAATTTACCGATATACATAGTTCCAATATCCTCTAAATAATCTAAAAGTCTATCAGCGTATCTGTAACCTTCGCGAATCAACTTCTGGAATAACTTACCATTTGGATTGATCTATCAGCCGGTCAGAATGTTGAGTACTATTTTTTGCATTATGGTCTATAGCGTTAGTGTAAAAAGATAATTTATCTCATTATAATACTGATTAATTTAAATACATATTTATTATAAAATTAAAAGTGAAAGAGGATTTTATATCCTAAAATACTTCTATGGCTCGCTTTACTTGCGCATATATTAAGAAGGATAATACTATTTGTGGAAATAAGTGCTGTGATCCCATGGGGTATTATAGGCACTGAAGATTGTATAAAAAAAATATAGAAAAAAAACTCTGCCTTATTAGTGGTTGTTGTAAATATACTATTTCTACTACAGAATGTTGTCCCAAACACTCAGCCAGATTTCATTCGTTAAATTATCGGATGAGGCAAAAGTACAAGGCTGAGATCCTTCAATCTGCAAAGACCTCTGAATTACCAAATGAGACCTTTCGACTTAGAATCCCTGAAGTTCCAATTTTTGAGTCAGATGATAGTAATGCTTCAATCCGGATTGAAATACTAGGTGATAGGGTTGTAATTAAAGACCCAGCTCCAAAGTCATCAAGAATCTATGAAGCTTCAGTTTCTGAGTCAGATGATGAGGACGATGAGGGTCTTGGTCTCTTTGGGGATTAGTGGTTAGCTCAAAATTCAGAATACTAGGAATCCCCTTTGAATTATTTGCCGAAAAATAAGCAAAAAATATTATTTGTCGATTATTATATAAAATTTTGGTAGAAGTCTATGTCTCAAAGTATATGACTGTATATTCTGACTAGAGCAAGAATTTTTTTAATGATACCTACCTGAATAAGTGTAGTCTTCTTCGTAATCTTATATAAAAAATTGGAAGAA